TGAGTACTTCTACTTTTACTCAAGTACAAGATCTGAGTACTTCTACTTTTACTCAAGTACAAGATCTGAGTACTTCTACTTTTACTCAAGTACAAGATCTGAGTACTTCTACTGTTACTCAAGTACAAGATCTGAGTACTTCTACTTTTACTCAAGTACAAGATCTGAGTACTTCTACTTTTACTCAAGTACAAGATCTGAGTACTTCTACTTTTACTCAAGTACAAGATCTGAGTACTTCTACTTTTACTCAAGTACAAGACCTGAGTACTTCTAGTTTTACTCAAGTACGAGATCTGAGCACTTCTACTTTTACTCAAGTACAAGATCTGAGTACTTCTACTTTTACTCAAGTACAAGATCTGAGTACTTCTACTTTTACTAAAGTACAAGACTTGAGTACTTCTACTTTTACTAAAGTACAAGACCTGAGTACTTCTACCTTTGAATCAGCAGGTGTCTGTGTGTTAAGAAGAAGACAGCATACTTCATGAACCCCTCCCAGGGACATGTCTCTCTCAACGTGCTCCTCCTGGTGGACGTAGTGCATGTTTTCAGCCTCAGAACGAGCTGCTCTGAGTTGTGGAAGCTTGCAGGCCAAGTTTCCATCAGAGGTGATTTGTCTCAGCGTCTCCGGCTCATTTCCATATAAAGAGGCTCCTCTGCTCCGCGCTGCCTTTAATTAAGGGTGGCATTAGAGGCAGCTGAGCAGAAAGCCTGATCTGAGAGCAGCTCACAGTCTGCTGCTAATCCACTCAGTGTGTCTAACACCAGCAGCTTACAGTCCCTGTGCTGGAGCCACAGCTCAGCGTGGGACTCTCACACCAGTTACTCTGCAGGGACAACAGCCCCTTTGCCCCTTTCACACCAACGCGGTTCCCGTTCTAGCTCCACTTGTGCTCTTCTGGTTCGGAACCGGTTTTTCTTTTCAGCCCCCGTTGTGTTCACACCGCTCAGAGCCCGACTGCCGCGGCTGCGTCATGACGTCACCGTTTTACGTCGCTGATTTTCTCCCCAACGGCGTTACGGCGCTAACAACAACAACAACGGGGGACTGCGTCGGGTCCATGGTCGTGTTGCTTTTAATCATACGAAGCCAGATTAAATTAAATATTTACTTCTCCAACCTTATACTTTTCTCCAGAGTGCCGTGGTTCATTGTTTATTAATGTGTTTCATTTAGCGACCGCTGCAGTGCTGGCCGGCTGCTCTTCCACGGGAGTTTATTCTCCCGTTAGCTCCGGGTTAGCTCACACGGCTCTAAAGTATTCACTGTCTGACTGTCACACAAGCAGCTGATACATATCCCCAGTTCCCCTTAAGTGAATGTGTGTCAGTCTGAATTGACGCTGTTTGGCATCACAACGCTGTTATGAAAGTTTATTTTCAAGTTATTCCTGTATGAGAGCAGGTTGCTAAGGTAACGGATCTATCGCTGAAGCATTGAAGTAAGACTGCCCTGTTATCTGTACTTCAGATGGGTGGGTGGGTGTGTCCTGATCTGTTGTCAGTGTTGTCTCCGTGTCGTCGGTGTGTTTTGAAGTCGTGTAATTAGCTGCAGGATTACACCCCCCCCCCCCCCCCCATCCCCCCTCCTGTCTGACCATCTGGCTGCTCAGGTGCAGGCTTCTGATTGGCCGATGGAGCAGGCGGTGTGTTAGGTAATGATCCCGCCACACTGGGGGAAAAAACAGCCTGTAAGAAATGTGAAGCAAACACACAAACGGTATATGTATTATTGTTTTACAAAAGTAAATACATGGAGATAAATAAACATAGATGGCATCACTCAAAGTTTTATGAATGGATTTATTGCTGTTGTAAAACATCCCAGCATGAGTCAGATCTTTGTCTCTGAGTAAAGAGAAGACATGAATAACATTTGTGGAAATCTCAGTCTGATCAGCTGTTTATGGATGAAAGCTCCCTGTGAAAAACATTCCATGGAGAGAAACTCCCTCACAGGGATTTTTAGCCTTTGCAGCCCATTTACATGCACTAAAACCTAAATGTGCCGAATGCTTGTTTCCATCCAAACATGGCAGTGTGATTTATTCAAATGGAAATAGGAAGTTGTTAAACCATTATGTGAACACGATGCACCAGTGGAAGCTCAAATGGTGAAAAACACTTTACTGACATGAACTTTTAGCTGCGGTTGTACAGATGTTAGGGATATTAAGCATTTGAAGATAAAACCTGAGTTGCTCCCGATGACCAACGGTGTGTGAGTGAGTGTGTGTGAGTGTGTGTGTGTGAGTGTTAGCTACGTTATTGCTCTGCATGAATGAGGTGCGAATGGCTGAATGATGACATGTAGCATGTACAGCGCTTTCATAAAGACCCGATAAAGAGATGTAGAAGTAAAGACCATTTACTTGAACTAGTTATTAAGATAAGTTAAGATGAACTTCTATTGACCCGTGTAGGGACATTCAGATAGTACACATGGGATAATAAGAATAAACATGTAATAGTATGAATAGTAAACCAATGGTCTGTCTGTATAGTTTTCTTAAAATAGTTTTCTATCTGTGTTTTTAATGTTCGTTTTACTTTTATGTATGCATCATGACACCAAGTCGACCTAGTAATAAACCTGTTATAATAACCAATGATGGTGTGAAGGACTCGTAGCATGTTAAGAGCTTTGAGGGGTCGTAAAGACTGGATATAAGTACAGTCCATTTACCATAAAAGGCAGTAAATCAAATCAAATCAAATCAAGGTTTATTTATAAAGCACATTTAAAAGCGATTTTTGGTCGGGCCAAAGTACTGTACATGTAATAACTACAATCACATAAAAACACATTTCTATAATCACAACAAAAGACAATAAATTACAACAGATATTTAAAAAAATAAATAAATAAAACACAGGGAAAAGTCAGGAGTCGTGCTCCGCTCTGACTAGAAGGCCAGAGAGAAGAAGTGTGTTTTTAGTTTAGATTTAAAAACCCCTAGGGTCTGGGCCGACCTCACATGGAGGGGCAGAGTGTTCCAGAGCCTAGGGCCAGCTGCTGCGAAGGCTCGGTGCCCTCTGGTTTTGAGCCTGGTCTTGGGCACTACCAGCAGCAGCTGGTCAGCAGACCTTAAAGCTCTGGCTGGGGTGTAGCGCTGGAGGAGTTCAGCTATATAGGCCGGAGCCAGCCCATTTAGGGCTTTAAAAACAAATAAAAGGATTTTAAAATCAATTCTGAACCGAACTGGAAGCCAGTGCAGTGAGGCCAGAATAGGGGTGATGTGGTCACGCTTTTTGTGGCCAGTGAGTAGACGTGCAGCTGCGTTCTGGACTAGCTGCAGGCGTCTAATTGACGCCTGGTCCATACCCACGTACAGAGCGTTGCAGTAGTCCAACCTCGAGGTAACAAAGGCGTTAATAACTAGAGATGTCCCGATCCGATCACGTGATCGGGGATTGGAGCCGATCACGTGATTTTCAAAAGATCGGAATCGGGAGAAAAAAATCGGGGATCGGGAATTTTTTTTTAATTATTTTTTAATTTTTTATTTAATGTTACAAAACAAAAATGACCATGTTCACGTCTTAAAGTCATCCTGAGGCCTTAGTTTTGGTTTAAAATTACACAACATCATGTATGTGTTGCTTCTTTTGGGCTTGTTTTCATATACCTGGTTGCTTATTTCTCTCAAATCTGGCAACAGAGTGGGCGCAGTGTCTAATAGTAGCAGTAAGCTAACGAGAGGCTACGTTCAGCTGGTGACTCGGGAGTCGGGACAGAGAAAATGTCAGGAGTTTGGAAGTATTATAAAATTGAAAGCGAAGGCAGTGTAACAGCCAGATGCAATGTTTGCAAGGCAGAGGTTCCGCGTGGTGGAAAGAACAGAGCTACGTTCAACACGACCAATCTAATACGCCACCTGAGAAACAAACACCAACAACAACACGACGGAGTACACAGCGGCCACTCAGGTAACGGCACTGAAACAACCGACACTTTCAGAGACTTTTAAAAGGAAAGAGAAACTACCCCAGAACAGTGAAAAGGCCAAAAAAATAACAGCCAAGATAGCTTAATTCATCGCGTTGGATGACCAGCCGTTATCTGTTACCTTTTTTTTCTCTTAATGCATTGCATAAAGATCGGATCGGGAAAAATCGGTATCGGCAGATTGTCAAAATCAAATGATCGGAATCGGATCGGGAGCAAAAAAAGGTGATCGGGACATCCCTATTAATAACCCTTTCCAGGTCCTCAAACGCAGTAATGCACCAAGAGTTCAAGGAGTTACCTTTAACTAGTTATTAGGTGCTTTCACACCAAGTACTTTGCCGTACTTAGTTCCCACTACTTAGTTCATCAGAACTCTTTAGTTCTGATGCACTAAGTGCAAATCGCGTTCACACCGGAATAAGTACCTGGGGGAGGGTTAGACAAATGAAGCCGCTGACGTCACTTCTTCTTCTTCTGCTTTGGGTTTTTTTTTTTTTACTGCCACCGCTCCCATGTTTTTGTTTGTGTTGCCATAAGTTAGTCTCTCTCTGTTTGTGCGCTGGGCTAATGCTAATGCTAATAATGCTAATGCCAGCAAATACAATGGCGACTTCACAAAACTTTTCAGAGTTTTACGGGGCGTGGTTTGCAATCCGTCCAGCCAATCAGAAATGGAAACCGTTTTCTCCCATGAAAGTACCTGCTCTCTAGCAGGGACTGAAAAGGGGGGGGAAAGGTTCTCATGAATTAAGTTCCGGATTTTTTTGGTGTGAACGTAACATTTCAAGAACTATCGGAACTATACTGGGAAAAGTACTGCGGTGTGAAAGCGCCTATTGAGATAAGTTAAGATGAACCTTTATTGCCTGAGGGAAACTCAGGTGACAGAATAAGACACAGAACTGTCTTGTTTTAGTTTTAGTCAAGTCAAATGTTTCCGATTCTGAAGAGTAATAACCAAAGCTCTGTCTCCGCTGTAGTGTCTGTCCACTGTCTGACCTGGTGTGTGTGTGTGTGTGTGTGTGTGTGTGTGTGTGTGTAGGAGGCGATGTGGGGAGCAGGGTGGCGGCGCCGGGTCCAGCCCTGAGGAGGCGTCCTGCGGCTGGGAGGAGCGCGGCCCTCCTCTGGCCCCCCTGTGGAGCTCCGGGGCGCTCACACTAAGATGTCCCTCAGCAGCGGCCCTGCAGGCGGGAAAGGACTCGACTCCAACGCGGTGGACACGTACGACAGCGGCGACGAGTGGGATATCGGAGTGGGAAACCTAATAATCGACCTGGACGCCGACTTGGAAAAGGACAAACTGGAAATGTCGAGTAGTAAAGAGGGAGGAGGCATGGCGGCCCCCCCACAAAGCGCCGTGGCTACTTTACCGGAGAATATAAAGTTTGTTAGCCCGGTAGCCGCCGCGGCCGCTCAGGGCAAAGAAAGCAAATCCAAATCAAAGCGTAGTAAAAACTCTAAAGACAGCGTGAAGGCGCCGGGACCAGACGCCAAGAAGGAGGTTCTGGTTCCCCCGCAGAACTCAACCCCTACGAAGGGAACGGACAAGTCAAATAAACCCTCCCGCACACCCCCCGCGGTGAAAAAGGACAAAGACGGGGTGTCGGGGAAATCTAAGAAGGAGAAAATGGAGGCGGTGGTTGTTTCTGTCAACGCAGAGAAGGAGGTTCCAGTCCCTCGCAGCGGACTTTCCTTCGAGGGACAACTGATCCCGGATCTGTCTGCCGTCGAGCAGCAGATCGGGAACGTGAGTCTGGACTCGGCGGGGATTGGACAGCCCGTCGCCATGACGACAGAGCAGCAGCAGCAGCAGCAGCAGCAGCAGCAGCAGGAGGAGGAAGTGGACAACGGGGAGTGTCGAAGTCTGAAGAAAGTGGGCGGAGTGAAGGTATGAGGATTTAATTTATTTATATATTTATGTCGTTTCATATTCGCTGTAATACTGTCTGTGTGTACATCAACAACCCCCACACACACACAGACAGACAGACAGACAGACAGACAGACACACAGACACAGACACACACACACACACACTACTCGCACTTGGATTAGGACTACTTAGTTTTTAGTTTTCTTTGTACTGTTTCTGTTTCTATGTAAAGCGTCTTTGAGCAATGAAATCGGGAGTGTCCCGCGGAAATCAGGAGGGTTGGCAAGTATGCTGGGGGAGCATGCACCCGGACCCCCCTAGAGGATTTGAAGTCCACCCCCACTTAAAATCACACGGATAGGTTCCTAAATACATTTACAATTTTCTTTAAATAGTAACCCGTGTGACATGTCCAAATGTTTATTTGTGGGTAGTAGATTTGAACTATAGGGCTATCACTATGGGCAGCAACGCTGTAAATATTCACAAATAAATCCAGCAAAATGGCACAAAACAAACTGGTAGTGTCCTGGCTGGGGGTATCATTTCCGGCCTGAATTATTATCTCGGTCCGGCCCTGCCTGTACCTGTTCGCTCTGCCATCGCGTGAAGGGTCTGCTAACAAGCGACCAACAGAAAGGTTAATGTATATTTAAGTATATTTCAGATCTGTGGGAAACACTGGACTTTAAATGTGTAAGGAATGGATTATTAAATATTAAATTGAATATAAATGTAAAATGTACAGCAATAGACCCGTGTAGTATCACTGGTATGTACTAGTTATGTGTTCACCCTCTTGGTAGAATATTAATAGACACAGAGATAAAGTTGTTTTAAAACAGATCAAAGACACGGCAGCTTTTCAGCATTTTTTTATGGGGGCTGAGAAATGACTCTCTCCTTCCCAGATGTTAGTCCAGCTCACCTGTTGTTCATTTCTCACATTCCTCTGAGCAGGAACATGGAGGGAAGTCGTCTTCAAGGGTTTCTACGGGTCGATGGGGGAGTTGTGAATATTTTTGGATGGAGGTCATCGAGAAAGTTCTTCGGGTTTTTGATGGATTTTTAGGGAGTTTAGTTCAAACATGTTGGTGGTTTTCTAGGTGTCCTTGTGCTTCTTATCTTCATGGTCTTTCCTGTGAAGGCCTCTTCAAAGTGTGTGTGTGTGTTAACCAGCACTTCCCACAACTCCTGATAGAAGTGTGTTTCTTTATCTAAAGACAGAGACTGACTGTAAAGAAGTACTTTTTCATCTAGCTTTGGTCCCGTGTCAAACATGCTTGCACGTTTTGTATCATATTTATTCATCCTGTTCTGTTGCCTTGTTTTGAAGACTAAAAGTTTGCGAATTTCATTCCTATCATAGCCAAAAGAAACTCAGATTAATTTGACTAGTTTAAATCAATGAAAACCTTAAATTGCCGTTTCATCTTTGTCTCATGAAGTGTATGAATAAAATGTCCACTATTTCATAACTAAATACAAAAGAATCTAATGAATATCAATGAGACACAACATTGCTTTAATCAGGGGCAGACATTAAGGGTAAAAAGCTACTGCCCCTTCTCATCATCACTGGCCAAAGAGCATTCGCCAAACAAATCGACTCTAATGAAGAAAATGAACACATGGTTCAATAGTAACTTATGCACAAACTACATTACTACTTGAACTACAACATCTGAATCATCAGTTCTTCCTCATTTTCCTCAATTGTTCATATTTGGTTTATTAAAATTATTATATTGTGGTCATTGTTAAAGAAAAAAAGGAGGGTGACATTTCTGCTATGAGTATTATTGTTAGTATAATGCTCTTTCTGCCTTCCTGTCATCAGGAGTTAGCATGTAATGGCTAATAGATTAGAACCTTCATTCTCCTAAACTGCTGGGACATTTCCCTATAGCCAATACCTTTTATATTTTCTACTCTTCACTTACGTGTCAGCATAGGTCAGCATTGATGTACAGAGCCGACAAAAGACCGTGTTTATATCATCATATTGAAGCCAACTCCATCGATCAAGCCAGTGTGGCTTCCTCTCCCTCTTCTTCTCCTACTCCCCGTCACTCTCCTTTAACTCCAACGAAACGCTATGTTGCAGCGTTAATAAACGAAACAATTTAACAAAATTGCTTGTCAAAATACCAACACCAAAGGACCATGGGAATTTAAGTCTTACTGTTTTATTTTTTAAGCAATATTTTTAATGGCCCGAGCAGGCAAGTGGAAAGTACGTTATGCTGGCCCGGGGGGTCTAAAGAGTGCTTCCGGGCCAGCGGGCCATTTATAATGTCGAGCCCTGCTTTAATACAATAACACAAAAAATTGATCTTACACAGAACAACATGTAAAATCACACAATAATCCTGGTGCCTAAGATTACTGTCCATCAGCAGCAATGTCTAGATCATTTCATCACCACCGCTAAGCTAAAGGAGGCTAATGTTGGGCTATAAAGGAACTACAGCACAGTCACATGACTTCACGTCACCACCGCTAAGCTAAAGGAGGCTAATGTTGGGCTATAAAGGAACAACAGCACGGTCACATGACTTCACGTCACCACCGCTAAGCTAAAGGAGGCTAATGTTGGGCTATAAAGGAACTACAGCACGGTCACATGACTTCACGTCACCACCGCTAAGCTAAAGGAGGCTAATGTTGGGCTCTAAAGGAACTACAGCACGGTCACATGACTTCACGTCACCACCGCTAAGCTAAAGGAGGCTAATGTTGGGCTATAAAGGAACTACAGCACGGTCACATGACTTCACGTCACCACCGCTAAGCTAAAGGTGGCTAATGTTGGGCTATAAAGGAACTACAGCACGGTCACATGACTTCACGTCACCACCGCTAAGCTAAAGGTGGCTAATGTTGGGCTATAAAGGAACTACAGCACGGTCACATGACTTCACGTCACCACCGCTAAGCTAAAGGAGGCTAATGTTGGGCTATAAAGGAACTACAGCACGGTCACATGACTTCACGTCACCACCGCTAAGCTAAAGGAGGCTAATGTTGGGCTATAAAGGAACTACAGCACGGTCACATGACTTCACGTCACCACCGCTAAGCTAAAGGAGGCTAATGTTGGGCTATAAAGGAACTACAGCACGGTCACATGACTTCACGTCTCCACCGCTAAGCTAAAGGAGGCTAATGTTGGGCTATAAAGGAACTACAGCACGGTCACATGGCTTCACGTCACCACCGCTAAGCTAAAGGTGGCTAATGTTGGGCTATAAAGGAACTACAGCACGGTCACATGACTTCACGTCACCACCGCTAAGCTAAAGGTGGCTAATGTTGGGCTATAAAGGAACTACAGCACGGTCACATGACTTCACGTCACCACCGCTAAGCTAAAGGAGGCTAATGTTGGGCTATAAAGGAACTACAGCACGGTCACATGACTTCACGTCACCACCGCTAAGCTAAAGGAGGCTAATGTTGGGCTATAAAGGAACTACAGCACGGTCACATGACTTCACGTCACCACCGCTAAGCTAAAGGTGGCTAATGTTGGGCTATAAAGGAACTACAGCACGGTCACATGACTTCACGTCACCACCGCTAAGCTAAAGATGGCTAATGTTGGGCTATAAAGGAACTACAGCACGGTCACATGACTTCACGTCACCACCGCTAAGCTAAAGGAGGCTAATGTTGGGCTATAAAGGAACTACAGCACGGTCACATGACTTCACATCACCACCGCTAAGCTAAAGGTGGCTAATGTTGGCCGTGATGACGTTTAGTCGTCTCATTTAGACACTTGTTATCAACCTCCATTTTTTAATTCACCAGTGGGGTATTAGCTGACGTATTTTACGTGTTGACCACAGACATTATTTCAGGCTAACAACCAAAAACACATTCAGAAAACCATTGACTTCCACACCAAGGGAACAGGGATTGCTAACTAGTTTTAAGGGTTTTAGGACTCATTCTTGCAGGATTTTGTAAACAGTCTCTCACTTTTTAATGAAGACAGTTATCTCTTCTCAGTGTCTGTCACTCAATCCACTCTTAGAGAAAGAAATGAAAGACTTTTATCTCTTGAAGTGTGGCAGCCTCACATAACCTCACATTCAACAAGCTTCAGCTCCAACACCGTTTGTGAAGTGCTGATCTGTATCACTAATCCCTCACAGCGAGCCAGTGACCTTGAGAGGAATGTGGCTTGTTTTTGTAATGAATACCTCTGAGTGAATGGAGAGGAGGAGCAGAGCGGGGGGTCGGTGTTTCCCAGCCCATTCTGCATCAAACGAGGCTGAAACTCTGCAGCCAATAGCAGGGCAGTAAAACAGCCCCTCCCCCCTCTGAGAGAGAGAGAGAGAGAGAGAGTTGGTGGCTCTTCAGGTGGTTTCCCAGCATTCAAAGCGCCCATGTTTTTTATTCGTAAATAGGGGAATTATAGGAACTGAGAGGCTGTTTCTCTACCATGATCCCTTCCTTTTGACCAGCTGTTAAACCAGTACCGTGCAGCGCCTGGCCGTCACAAAGGCTTTCTGCTCTCGGCCTGTAACGAGGTGAAACATGCAGGGACGAAACGCTCTCATCACTTTCTAATTTCACCAATTGAAACTTGTTTTATAAAGTTTCTAGGGATGTGGGTGTTATCCTCTCTGCGTATCAGTTGGTGCTGTTCAATAAAGCCAAAAGAAAGCTCTTTATAAACAACACAAAAGTCTCCACATGCAATGCTATCTTTTGTTTTTGATAAACACTTTGGATAGCCTTGTTTCTAACCAGCCTTCCCTTGCTTTGCACAGGTTTAGGGTTAGGGGCGTATATTCGGAGGTTGCAGAGTTTGAGGTGACGCAGAGTTTGACGCTGTGACGTGTGGTTTGACGCTGTGACGTGTGGTTTGACGCAGTGACGCAGAGTTTGACGCAGTGGCGTAGAGTTTGACGCAGTGACGCAGAGTTTGACGCAGTGACGTAGAGTTTGACCCAGTGGCATAGAGTTTGACGCAGTGACGTAGAGTTTGATGCAGTGGCGTA